TGATTAATATGCTAAGGATTCCAAGAGGTAACAAAGTATGCATGCAAAAGCACAAGGACAATATAAACAGAGAAAAGGAAATTCTAAGGAAGAGCCAAAAAAATAATGCTAGAGATAAATAAGTTAATAACCTCTGTCACAGAATTGAGGAATGCCTTTGATGGAATTATTAGTAGGCTGGACGTGACTGAGGAAAGAATCGCTCAGCTAGAGGATATATCAATAGAATCTTTGAAACCCAAAAAGCAAAGAGAACAAAGAGTGAGAAAACAATAACAATAACAGAATATCCAAGGACTGTGAGACAACTACATAAGGTAAAATATACATGTAATAGGAATACCAGAAGGAGAAGAAAGAGAGAAAGGGACAGAAAAAATATTTGAAACAATAACGAGTAAGCGTTTTCCCTAAGTTAATGTCAGATACAGACCCGCAGATTCAGGAAACTCAGAACCCAGCTCAGAAGATTAGAGAACAGCAAGCAAGATAAATAATATCCAAACAACAACAATAACTTATATCTCAGCATATCATTTTCAAATTCCAGAAAAATCAAAGATAAAAATATTTGAAAGAAGCCAGAGGCAAAAACACCTTTACTATAGAACAAAGATAAGATTCACATCTGACTTCTCAGAAACCATGCAAGCAAGAAGAAAGTAAGGTGAAATACTTCAAGGATTGAGAGAGAGGGGGAAAAGAAACCAACCCAGCAACGTAGAACTCTGTATCCTGCAAAATTAGCCTTGAAAAGGAAGAAGAAATAAAGATTATCTCAGATAAACAAAAATTGAGGATATTTGTAGCAGGCACACCTGCCTTGCAAGAAATTTTAAAAGAAGTTCTTCAGAGAGAAGGAAAATAATACAGGCCAAAAACTCAGATCCATATAAAGGAAAGAACATTGAATAGGAATAAATAAAGATCAAGTAAAACTTTTATTTTTCTTGTTCTTAATTGATCTAACAGATAATAGTTTGTTCAAAATAATAGCAGCAATGTATTTGATTATATGTGCTTACGTATATATTTTATGTATATTCTTGTATATGCTTATATATAAGCATATGACAATGCTACAAGGAACAAGAAAATGGCATTAGGATTTTTTTTTATTATAAGATTCTCATACTACCTTTGAAGTTGTATAGTGTTATTTGAAAGTTGACTTGGATTAGTTGTACATGCATATTGCACACTTTAGGGAAACTACTAAAAAAATTATAAACTGAAAAATTAAGAGGAAAAACTGGAATCATAGAAACTGCTAAATTAAAACCACAAAAGGTTTTAACTTAGAGAAACAGTGGAAGACACAAAAAAGAACAAAGAACAAAGGCAACAAATAGAAAACAGTAAATAATATGGTAGATATTAATCCAACTATATCAATAATTCTTTGAGTGTCAGTGGTCTAAATGCACCAGTTAAAAAATATTGTCAGAGTGCATCAAAAAACACGACCCAACTATATGTTGATTATATGAAATCTACTTTAAATATACAGATAAAAGTAAATGGATGGAGAAAAATATATCACTAAGCAATATAGGAGTAGCTATATTAACTTCAGACAGAGCTGACTTCAAAGTAAGAAAGTTAGCAAATATAAAGAAGGGTATTCCATAATGATAAAGTGGTGATTTCTCCAAGAAGACATAATTCTTAACAGGTATGTGTCTAAACAGAGTGTTAAACTACATGGGGCAAAAACTACATGGATAGAATTGCAAGGATAAAGAGATGAATTTGCTATCATAGAGATTTCAAAACTTCTCTCAGAAATGGACAAATTCAGCAGGCAGAGAATCAGTGGGGACAAAGTGGAATTCAATAACACCATCAATCAACTGAGTATAATGGACAGCAAGAGACTATTTCCTCCAACTACAGCAGAATAAAGATCTTTCAAGCTCACATGGAACATTCTCCAAGAAAATAAGATAAGTAGCTCCCCGCCCCCCGTTTTTGCTTTTTGCTCTGAAAGAGTTTATGTAATATAGATAGGAACGATCTGTTCCCTTATGGTTTTGTAAAATTCTCCCATGGAACCACATGGACCAGTATCTTCTTACTGGACAGATCTTTGGCTATCATTTCCATTTGTTTTATTGCTGATAATTTATGTTTTCCTGTTTCCATTTCATCTGGGTTTCATACTTATCTGCATAATATTATTCAGTAATCTTTTATAACTTTAAAATCTCTTCTGAGTCAGTATGTTGTAGTTTGATCATTTTGTCTGTCTATATAATGTTAATTTTCCATTCCTTTGTTACACTTGAACAAGTTTGAAAAAGTTTATTTCTTTAAGTCTTTGCAAATAATTATTTTTATTTATTCACTTTTTTCTATTAAATTGCTTTCTATTGCAGTATTTATGATTTTCCTTTATTCTACTTTCTTTATATTTTGTAGATCTCTTTTCCATTTACTTTTTTACTGGGTTGAATAGTGTCCCCCAAAATTGATGCCCACTCAGAACCTAGAAATGTGACCTTATTTGGAAATATGGTCTTAGCAGATGTAATGAAGTTAAGATGAAGTCATATTGAATTAGGATGGGCCCTAAATCCAACATGACTGGTGTCTCTGTAAAAAAAAAAAAAAAAAAGAAGACATTTGGACCCAGAGACAGACACACAGGGAGAAGACGCTGCAACGATGGAAGCCGAGAGCGGAGTAATGCATCTACAACAAGGAATGCCAAGGATTGTCTGCAATCACCAAAAGCTAGCATGAGACGAAGAAGTATCCTCCCCTAGAGCCTTTAGAGAGAGTTGTCATCCTGCCAACACCTTTATTTCAGACATGTAGCCTCCAGAACGCTGAGACAATAAATATTTCTTGTTTTAAGCCACTAAGTTTGTGGTAATTTGGTATGGCAGTCTTAATGCTAAGTTCCTTCATCATTAGTTTTTTCTTGTTTTGTAAGTTCATGTAAGTCCATGTATTTCCTTGAAAATTAATTTGACTGAATCCTAAAGTAGTACTTTATTCAATTCTAATTTTATTATGGGTTTTTTTTCCTTCAACCCATTAATTATTTAGACCTGTGCTTTAAAATTCCTGTATGTAGCTGTAGCTGGTGTGGTTCAGTTGGTTGAGTGTCATCCTGCAAAACAAAGGGTTGCTGGTTCGATTCTGGTCAGGGCACATGCTTGAGTTGTGGGTTCCGTCCCTGGTCGGAGTGCATGTGAGAGGCAACCCATTGATGTTTCTCTCTCACATTGATGTTTCTTCCCCCTCTCTAAATATAAATTTAAAAAATCTTTTTAAAATTGTCCACATGTATACAAGTTTCTAGCCATTTTTATATTGTTGATATCTACTTTTATTTCTGTATCATCAATAAATGTATTACATCGATTAAGAAATTTTTGGGAACTTACTGTACAATCTAATAGTCAATTTTTGTAAAAATTCTATTCTGTTTGAAAAAAATAAAAACATACATTCTCTGTTGGGTTCAGAGTTCCACATGTATCTGTTAGATTCATAGGTTGTTAATTGGTGTTAAAGGTTAGCTGACTAATAAACAAAACCTGTTTTCACCTTATGCCTTGACATACTAGGCTACATTTCATAGCCTTTCTAGCAATTTCTAGGCTACATTTTCTAGCCTTTCTAGATGTGTACATAGGACTCAGTATGGCCAATGGAATGTGAGCAGAAAATTTATGTATTATTTCACATGTAATTCTCCATTCTCTCTCTTACTATGACTGTTGTCTGGATATCAATATTCAGGTGACCTAAAAAGCCACATTTTGAAGCTGGCAGAGTATCTCTCAGCTTGAATACCTGAATGACTGTGCAGAGCAGAGACCTCATGACCAAAGATTGGACTCCACACAAAAGAGAAATAAACCTCTATTGTTTAAGGGTTAAGCTCCTGATGTTTGAGTTTATTTGCTACAGATGTTAATGTGATCTAAACTAAATACATTTTTGCTCTCAGACATTCCCTACCTTTATACTTTTTGTCTTATTTGTCAGATATGAGGGATGCACGTTAGAGTCTCTCATTATAAAGATTTATGTATTTCTTTTAGTAATTCTATAAAATCTTGCTGTATATTTCATAGCTATGTTGTTAGGTACATATAATCTTGTAAGTATTATAACTTTTGGCAAATTATTCTTTTTATCAATATGAAAAATATTTTTGCTAATCATTCGCCAGGTTTTTTTAAACTTTCCTATGTAATTTTTCAAAGTATATTTTCAATATAAATAATATATATGCTGTATTTTTTAAAAATTCAGAATGAAAACTTTTTTAATAGGTTAGTTTAACCACTCATATTTTCATAATTATTGATATTCTTTCACTTATTCCTAACCACTTTATTTGTATTCTCCATTTCCATGCTTACTCTGAGTTTCCTATATTTTTTTCCCCCACTCTCTTGGATTTTTTTGGAAACATTAACTTTTATCTATTCAACTTTTTTTTTTTTTTTACTTATAATTGGCAAAGTTTATTATCAAGAACTTTAGTAGGTTTTTTAAAAAACTGTTTTGGTTTTAAGTATACTGAAAGATGACAATCCACGAAAAGACATGCACAAACAAGGATAATTAAAATATTAAATACTACCTAAATTAAAAGGCCATAATTCAAATTGTTAACTATTATGTTTGTGTTTTGTTAGAAGTAGCTGGACAATTACCTTTCATGAAATTCACCCCATCAATTCAGGAAGACTACAAAGCTTCACTGCAAACTCAATTATATAATTTACAATTATCAATGTTGAGTTTTTTGTGCTTAAGCATGCATTACCATAGAAAGCACAAAATCCTAAAGGGATTTTTTGTTTCTTTAAAACAATCTCAAGCATCTTTTAAAGTGCGAGCTACAAATATACTGTATCATTAAAGAAAAAGTCTTCAAAAAGAAGTAGGAGATAGCTATCCAATACTGCCAAGAGTGGTTATATAACTAACCGAAGGCCTCCCGGCAGTGCTCTGCTGTTTTAATGTAGCAGCCTCCTCCTTTGCAGTTGATTGAGTTCTTAGCTCTTACTATACTACCAGCCAAACATGTACTCCATTGCTTTGGATACAAGACTTTCATCTTATTTTGGTGTCTGTCTGTCAGAAATGACCTGATAGTCACTAGTAGAAGCTTTGTATGCTGTAGCAAGAGGTCTCATGGTAGATATCCTAGGAGTACTTCCAGGTTGCGTTTGTGTACCTAAGGTTTTGATTGGTGGTGTAAAGGCTAGAGATGAAGACGACAAAGCACACCTGTCACTGTTTTCCATAACACTTTTATTTATACATGGTTTTACACCAATCATGATGGACTCTCCAAAAATCCTCCCATCTTTGCTTAAGGCTTTCCGGGCCTGCAGTTTGGATTGATAACGGATATGCATCCAATTTCCTGTGTTAGACATCACATGTTTTAAGATATTCCCATTTTGTGCAAATTGTAATAATATATAGGAAGCAGATGCTTGAGGAAACCCGAACACAGTTACCCATGTGTCATCAAGGTGATCTTCAGAAGTCAGAGAATCTCCTTGAGTATAAAAAGGATCCAACTGGGCAGGAAATAATGTTGTCTTTCGTGGCTGACCAATGTTTGCTGGACTAAACATACTTTGCCCTGTTCCAGGAGTAGTTGTGACAACTCCAACAAGAGGACTCTGCATTACTGACATGTTTGGGTGTCTTCTTGAAGTTAAAGGTGTTGATCCAAGCCCTGGGCTGGAAAGGTCATCATATATACTTCTAACTGGTGGAGCTCCACTTTTATCTTTATGAGCTGGTACAACTGGTTGTGGTGGTGACCCACCTGCAAGTAAAGGTGATCTCATTTCCATTACTCCTACTGAAGGACCACTAAGTGATCGAGGTTGTGGGGGTCACTGGAGCTGGCAAATCCCCCATTAAAAATCCAGGTAAGAACTGGGCATTAACCTCTGGTTTTGGAGATGTGGGAGAACCCAGCATCATTGGTTCAGATCCCAATGTGGGCGCCTAGGGTTCCACAGCAAAGGCTGCCATCGTGGTGGCAACTATACTTAGCTCCGGACCCTCCCGATTTTCCTCAGCTTTTTCTTCTACTGATTTGAAAGTTGCATATTCCATCGGTTAACAATCATCCTTTTATTGTGGGAAAATGTGCAAAAAATAAAGTTTACCATTTTAAAATGCACAGTTCTGTGGCAATAAGTACATTCACATTGTCCAACTATCACCACTGTCTGTCACCAGAACTTTTTCCTCTCCCCCATTAAACAGTAAGTCTGCATTCCCTCCTCCCCCGGCTCCTACTGACCATCACTTTACTTCCTGTCTGTTTGAATTTGACTACTCTAAGTAGCTCATATAAGGGGAACCATACAATATATGTGCTTTTGTGACTGCCTTCTTTCACTTAGCATAATCCTTTAATATTCATCCATGTTGTAACATGTCAGAATTTCCTTTCATTTTTAAGCCTGAATAATATTTCTTTGCAACACTCATTTTTATAACAGCTTTATTAGAATATAATTCATACACCATAAAATTCACCTTTTCCAACTGCACAATGGAATATTTTTGGTATATTTAAACAGTTGCCCAACCATCACCAGTAATTTCAGAACATTTTATCATTCCTGAAAGAAACCTCAAAACTCTATATTCAACATTTTGAGAAATTGCCAAACTATTTTCCAAAGTGGCTATACCGTTTTACATTCTCATCAGCAATGTATGAGGGTTCCAATTTCTCCACATCCTCACCAATACTTATTATTATCTCTTTTTTATTATAGCGATTCTAGTGAGTGTGAAGTGATCTCTCATTGTGGTTTTGAATTGCATTTCCCTGATAACTAATGATGTTGAACATCTTTTCATGTGCTTATTAAAATTCATTTTAATACACACTTACAAATATACTTTTAAAGAATTCATTGGTATGTATGTTCTCACCTAAACAAAGCAAAAATGTTGACAAGAAGCTTTTTAGTTCCCTCCACTTTTTGTGGGATATTTCTTACATAGTTTTAGTTTGCTGACGTCTGAAATTTTAGTTCCAGGTTGTTATTTTTTAATTTTTGGGAAGTTCTTACTAAGATTCCTTAAATTCTTTGTTTGCCTTTGGTTTTTGTATGACATTGTTTCTTCTTGGATTTTTTTTCTTAACAGGAGCACAACATCTAATTGTTTTTCTTTTGTTTAGTTTTGTTTTCAGAAGGAATCTAGAGAGGGAGAGGCAAGTCAACTTTCTGAGTACTTTTATATCTGAAAAATGCCTCTATTTCATCCTCACATCTAAATAACGATTTGGCTATTAAGTAATAAATTTAAGTGTGCATTACATTAGCATTTTCAAGATACTGAGTTGATGTTGCCAAGAAGAAACTTGACATCATTCTTTTGTAGTAGGTCAAACTGATTTTTTTAAATGAGCATTTAATGTAGATTTCCTTCTTTATCCCTGGTGTTCTGAAATTTCACTATGGTTGGCCCTGGCTGGTATGGCTCAGGGGATTGAGCGCTGGCCTGTGAACTGAAATTTCACTATGGTTAGTCTATATGTGGGTTTAAAAATTACCCTACTGGTACCTGCTAGATCCTTTCAATCTGAAGACATACTTTTTTTTTTAAATTCAGGCAAATCTCTATTATTATTTCCTTAAATATTATATCTTTTCTATTATCTCTGTCCTATATTTCTGGAACTCTTTTAAAACAGATATTGGCACTTCTGAATCTGTTCCCCATGTCTTTAGGTTTTCTTTTTATTATCTTTCTCTATTACTTTGTGCTGCATTCTAAAAGAATTCCTAGACTTCATCTTCCAGTTCTCTAATTTACTCTTTTAACTGTGTTCATTTTGCTATTAGCCCTTCTATTTGTTAATTTCAATAATTATATCTTTTATTACAAAATCTCTATTTTACAACCAGTTATTCCTGTTTCATGGATAAAATACTTTTCTTTATCTAAGTGTTTATAATTACATTTATTTTTAAGTCTAGTTCTGGTAACCCTATTTACTTCCTTTGCTCAGATGTACATGTATCTGTTTGTTGGATCTATGATCTTTTTTAAAAAACATAGTATTGAGCACTGCATGTATTTGGCGATTCTTGACCATATGTGCATTTTTGCAGCTGTATTGTCTTGTTAGGCTGATGGCTGCCTCCAGTTGAGCAGTTTGCTTATAAGGAGGGGCAAAACAGCTGCTGGAACTTGTATTCCATACTATTTTGATGGGCAGGACCTGCTGCTGGGTCGGAATCTCAGCAGCTGGTCTTCTAGGCTTGGATGTTTCTCATTCCTTCCAGACTTTGACAGCCTCTCAGTACATGGCCTTTTCTCATTAATCCAAGTACTTACCCCCGAAGCTCTTACACACAGAGTACATGGAGAAATGCAAGGCCGATAGGCCTGGCTGTTCCTGCCACAGTTCCCCTATCAATTCCTATTTCGTACTTTTTTGTTTTCAACTTCCTCCCATCACCTCTAGACATGGAACATCTTGGTGTTGCTCCCTGTCTGCTCTCAGTATCACTGAGATTCCTACTCTTTTAGACCATAAAGAAAGCCCCTACTTGTTTTTGAACATGCAATTTGTCCTTCTATCATTTCTAAGGTTGTGAGTGGGCTTAGTCTGATATATATAAATATATGTATATATTTCTGTATTTTTCTACTTAATCACTTATTATTATATAAAAATGTATTTTCAGATATGCAAATACAGGTATATGTGTTTGTTTCCTAGCTGTGACTTCTGACAGGGCCCAGAAGCAATGACATTTTAATATCGAAGAGTATACTTATTGCCCAAATCTTGGTTCCTAAATACTATTATCCACTCTGGGTAACCAAGGCTTCTTTGGAGAAATGACTGATTCTAGCATTGAGACATGGATGGTACAGGAGAAGCCTGGAATATTTGTTGCTTCAGATTGTATGGAAATACCATAAAAATAATGGCTATACACACACACGCACACACACACACACACACACCCCCCCCACAAATTCAGCTGAATGAGGTCCCATTGGCATTGGCCAACTTTAGGACAATTTGAACATCAAAATAAATCATGATATAATAAATAATAACTCATAGAATAAAAATAAATAAAATAAGAAATTTTCTAATAAATAAATAAATAAATGGGGAAGGCTCTGGCCAGGTAGCTCAGTTGGTTAGACTGTTATCCCTATATGCCAAGGTTATGGGTTCAGTCCCCAGTCAGAACACATACAAGAAGCAATCAATAAATAAATGGAACAACAAATTGATGTTTCTGTCTCTCTTCCCTTCCTCTCCCTCTCTAAAATCAATCAATAAAAATTTTTTAAATAAATAAATAAATGGGGGAGAAGGGAAAGCTCTTCCTTAGAGTAGAGTTACCACTAATAAATGAGGTAGGATTGTTGGAATCAGAAAATCACCATTTGGCAATCACCATAGTAATAAATCTTTCAAATAAATATCAACAGATGCTAAAATTAATGGGTAAAAACTTGACAGAAAAGGGGATATTTGCATAATCTCAAAGCATCTCCCCACAAGATGCTTATTAGTTATAAAGGGAAAAGTAGTTTACAGTGGAGAAAGCTTACAGGTCACTGCTTTAACCAAGTGATCATAGCTAATATCACCAGTGATGTGAAAAGGGGACATCGGGTGCCTCCTGACTGGATAAGGACACAACAGTTCTGTCATGTTTCTGACAAGTAGGTATAACCCAAATCTAATCATGAAGACACATCAGACAAACCCAAAGTAAGTGACGTTCTATAAAATAACTGATGTATAATGTTAAAAAGTACCAAAATCATAAAAGACAAGAAAAAAATAAGAAACTATTCTGGATTAAAGAAGACTCAAGAGACATGACAACTAAATGTAACATGTGAGCCTGGCTTATATCCTGGACCACAAAGAAACATTTCTTTCGCTTTCGCTATAAAGGATGTTGCTGGGACAATGGTGAAATGTTTGTGTCTGTGGATTAGGTCCTAACATATCATTATTGATTTTCTGATATGGTTATTGTTACATGAAGAAGACTTTGTTTTTAGAGAAAACACTTGAAGTATTTAGGGATAAACAAACCACACACACGCACATGTGGACATATTTTTATGTCATTAAGAACTTTTCCATGGATACTCATTGTAGGGCCGCTTAATAATACTCCACTGGCTGGGTGGATTGTAATTTACTTAGTTATAACCTTCATGTTGGACATTTCTATATTTTCTAATTCCTCCCATGACAAATAACAGTGAAATGAACACCCTTGTATTTAATTCTCTGTCCACTTTTCAGATTTTTTCCCTTTGGATAAATTTGTGGAATGTTAATTATTGTCCAGGGGTATGAACATTTTAAGATTCTTCATAAATACTTTATTCATACAAGTTGAAATACCCCCATCATGTTTATGCATATTCTCATTCATTTAAAAGTTTTGCTAATTTGAGGGGAATTATATTTCATGCTGATCATTAGAGAAGATGTTTTTTTTTCCCCTAAGAATAGTGAATTTGGTAAGTGTTTGTTCCTGGTTCCTGAGGGATTCATGATAGTCACACATTCCTGTTGAGGGGGAGAATAGCAAAGCTGTTTGCAACTTCTAAGAAGTAATAAATAGTGATTACCATACTAGAGCACGCAGTCAAATCGCTTGGGACACATCTACATTACCGCACAAGATTGAATTGACAATTTATTTAGGCTCCTAGAATGAGGAAACACAGTATCTCCAGGGAAGGGGAAAGAGTGGGTGACAGGAAGGTAATTTCCTTGTGTTTGTTTACTTGTTTCCCTCTTTCCCTCCTCGCATCTCCCCCTCCTCCCTTCTAAATATATGTATGCGTAGCTACTATATTGTGTAATATATACATATAATGTGTGCACTATATATAATGTTAAATATTTTTAATATAATGCTGTATAGTGTAATAGGATATGATCCATAATAATTCAATGTATGCATGACTCTGCCCAGGATCAAGGGGATTCAGAGATATGAGACCA